AACTCTTGTTTAAAGTTGAAGCTTGCTTAATTTGATCTTGACCTTTGTATAAGTGGAACCTTAATTTGGACTTTGAATTATCTTGTTTGTGCATTGAGAGTGATTGCATGACTACCAATATACATATTTGGATCATCTTCTTCCTTTTCACCACTCTTGTTGATCCAAGTAGCCGATCCTCATCATTAAGGGACAGTTAAGCTTACCTTGAACCAATCCTTCCTTCTAAACCCAAACACTATTGTGAGAGTTTGTGAGGCATTGCATCATCATTTTCGAACTTATCTTGGCAAAAAGTGTTAGGAATAAGGCTGGCAAGGAAAAGCTCTCTTGTAGACATCAGCTTGCATTTAGAGCTTGATACTAGGTTAGGAGTTTTGGGAAATGGTAAAGTTAAATGGTTTAAGCTTTAATTGTTTGTATCTTTTTAGAAGAGAAGAAGAGAGGGAATGCTTTCATGAAGAGAATGATATTTTGGGAAGATAATTGTATATTGTGGTTAAGAAGAAAAAGCAGATCAAGAAATCCACCAAAGAGGTGATGAAAGATGGTGCCTATACAACATAGAAGAGCAAGTTTAAAAGAAGTCAGCCACACAAGCAAAAGAAGAAGAAGTTCCCCATATTTCAAGAAGAAAAAGATCAAAAGAACTTTGGGAAAGGGTAGATTTAGAGGTTCAACTTGGGAATTAGTGATATATCATGGTTTTTATGGTTTTTAACCATGATATAAGTCCTTTTTATTGAGTATTTTTGGTCTTTTTAGAGTTCTAGAAGAGTCTTTGCAGGTTATATCATGTCTGGAGCACAATTGGAGATATTGGAGCCTTTTGGAGCATTCTGAGTTGAAGCCACGAAGTATCCAACTCGGGAAGAAAAGTATGCATATGGGTGACGCTCGTCACCACTTTTGGTGACGCTCGTCACCACTTTTGGTGACGCTCGTCACCCAGAAAGGAAGGGGTCGTGGCTGTTTTCTAAAAGATAGAGGATTATTTGCAGTTTTGATCCAAAAGTTCCAGTATTTGCAAAAAGACCACAGATCGTGTTTTAGCTTGTATATTAGGTTTTTCAGCCATTCTTTTGGCAGATATCTTGTATCTTATTATTCTAGGGAGCTTTAGAGAGAGATTTTTGTAGCAGAGCTTTTGGAGAGACAAATCAGACTCCTTCAGAGCAGATTTTGAACTCCTTTATTTCTACTTCTTATTTCTTTTATGCAATCTATTCTTTTCATGATGTTTTCTCAAATCACCATGTCTGAGTAGTTTGTTAGTTAAGTTAGGGCTTTTCAAAGGTTGAAGAAGAGTTTGTAGAGATGCTAAAAACTTATAGGAAATTCATTGGTTCTTCATCTGTGTTTGCATTCATATCGATTTCTTAGACACATCATCTGGATTTCGAAACCCTAGGTTGTTTGATAGATGTGAGAGCATTATTAATCACCTGAACTAGTATTAGATGAGCAAAACGCCCTAGTACAAAGAGATTTGGCTTAGGAGTTTTGTGAACAATTGAACATGATCATTACTGCATGTTTAGGTTGTTAGGGTTTGCAAAGAGATTTGAGACTCTGTAATTTAGACATACATAACTTCTGCAATGAGAATTGATTAGTTATATCTTTGTGATTCATGTTCAAGACGGTTTTAATTCATTCCTGATTGCATGCATTCTACACTCTCGGATTCAACCTGCGAACTGTCCTGACTTAGCGCCTTTAGCTTTCTGAACTTTAAGAACAAGCATAAAAACGCCTCTTGCATTTATTTTACTGTTTTGCATTACATTCATTATTTATCGCTTAGCTTAATCTGAATCTATAATCGCTAGTGTGGTTTACATACTCCCTTGGGATTCGATAACCCCTTGTACTACAACTGCTTTTGCTGTGCACTTGCAGTAGTTTTATTTGGGTAAAACCTGACCCTATCAAGTTATTTGGGTAAAGCTTGCATTTAGAGCTTGATACTAGGTTAGGATTTTTGGGAAAGGGTAAAGTTAAATGGTTTAAGCTTTAATTGTTTGTATCTTTTTAGAAGAGAAGAAGAGTGGGAATGCTTTCATGAAGAGAATGATATTTTGGGAAGACAATTGTATATTGTGGTTAAGAAGAAAAAGCAGATCAAGAAATCCACCAAAGAGGTGATGAAAGATGGTGCATATACAACATAGAAGAGCAAGTTTTAAAAGAAGTCAGCCACACAAGCAAAAAAAGAAGAAGTTCCCCATATTTCAAGAAGAAAAAGATCAAAAGAACTTTGGGAAAGGGTAGATTTAGAGGTTCAACTTGGGAATTAGTCATTATTAGGATCATCTTTGGGGAAAAGGTAGAAGAGCTTTGACTTGCATGCACAAGTGTGCTTTTACCTTTAGCATTTTGCCTAAGATAGATTCATTTCATATGAGAGATCCCTTGTTCCTTTAAACCCAATATGCATGAGATCATTTTCATCTCATAACCATATCCATTAAACCAAATGCTTTCACTTGATTTGCACAAACTTGATCCATTGGTTACTTGCTAATTGAATGTTAAAAAGGTCAAGTGATTTGAGAGCTTGTGTAGATTGATAACTTGGGAATCATTTTCATTTTGTGATGAATGTGACTAAGTTTTAGAGTACAGTTCCGTCATTTGCATTCTAGAACTAGAAACATGGACATCATTTTGATCTATTGTTAGCATTTTAATGATATGAGTTCCCGTCTTAAAACCTCATCACCATGTTTAATCTTTAATTTGCTTGAGGGCAAGCAAAAACTAAGTGTGGGGGTGTTGTTAGTTTGCTATATTATAGCATTTTAGGCTACATTTCATGCATCTTTTCCCTTGTTTTTGTATTATAGTTTAGCATTTTAGACTCATTTGGACTTATAATCAACTTTGCATTCATTTAGCTTAAAAATGCATACATTTTCATATATTTGCATGTTTATGGTGACTTTCAGGTGTTTTGGAGGTTCTTGGAGTTCGGAAGGAGATGAAAGCAACTCATGTTGGAAGCAGATGCCAAAGAAGGAGCTTTGCAAACTCTGTGTCCATATCGAGGTCCAGCATCGAGCAGAACATCCATGAAGCTTGCTCGATGTGAAGCGTGGGATGAGGAAGAAGGATTTGACAGAGGACTCCGAGACTGCACCGGGGTAGTGCACCGAGCTGAGCATGCCATACAAGCCGATACGAAGTGACAGGGCATAACGAGGTCCCTCATCGAGCTGAACACCGGACCAAGTGCCTGATACAACCCGAGACTTGCTGTATGCTGAAGTAACCAGTGAGTGACTGAACCCCGGCGTGAGCTATTCTGCATCGAGCTGGCCACATCGAGCAGAACACCTAACCATGCACCCTGATGCGTCAGCGCCGAGAGTTGACCAAGCTTTTTCTACTTTTTGTCAAACCTTATTTTTGGCTTATTTAAGCTAAACCTTATCTTTTTTTAGCACTTATCTTCTTCTTTATCTTATTTTTCGACCTGAGGGGAATCCCAAAAGAGGATTTAATGAGATGTTGATCAAGATCACTCTTTTAATAAAGTTTTGCACTTCCCTTTTTATTTTCTTTCTAGTTCTTGTTTAATCATGTTTGATCTGTCTTTTCTGCTTGTTACTATTGATTTCATGATGTACTGTGAGAAGTTTCATATGGTTTGAGGTTGGAGCATATTTGGGGATGATTGGTTGATAGCTTAGGGAGTTTTGGTTTGATTCATGCTTAGATCACTTAACTTAGTTGTCCTTAGTGCTTAGTAACTCTTTCCCTTGTTCTGTATCTGAGTTCTTTCGAATTTCTCGTATCGTTTTTCGTGGATTAGCATCTCGAGGTTCTTTGATGGGCAGGGTGAAACTGATCTTAGGTGTTTGCTGCATCACATGTGTTTGTTTAAATGCATGAAAGAACTTTGTTAGGAACATTCTCCTAGATGATTATATTGGCGTTTAGGTAGCATGTTTGGTCTATAAGAGTCTTGTGTTTTCATGCTGGTTTTGCACAAATACGCCATCACAAGTGGGTTTGACATGTGCTTAGCTTAGACATCTCTGTTCTGTTTGCAGACTGGTTGATTTAGTGGCTTGGTTATGTTCTGTGCTTGTTATTGGTCTTGATTACCCTAAGTTTGATACTAAGTAATCCTCAAGTCATCATTGCTCTAGCCTTGAACCAGCGCCTCATTGATCCTTGCATTTGATCATCTTGTGCTCTGTTTTCCTCTGTTTTAAGTTGCTTGCTTTTGTTTTATTTCTTGTCTTGCATCTCAAGTTATTGCACTTAGCTTTCATTTTGGTTTTTGCACTTCCATTGCTTTGTTTACCTTAGTTATGTTGCATCTAGATCATTTCCTTGTTAGTTGATGTTGCATTGAGTTTCTTTGCATTGCATTGCTTGCCTTGGTCTTGTTAGTGTTGTTTTTCACTTTTGAATTTCATCTTTGATTACTTAGGTTGTTAGAATCATTCCTTTTTCATCATACATGGTTAAGCTTAGTTAGTGCTTTGTATTTTTTTTATTCTAGCTTCTAGATGGTTTGATTAAACTGCTTATACACTATATCTGATTAGAGAGGAATTGAGTTAAAACTTGCAAAAATCCTTCTTCAAATACCATTGCAGAACCATCCGATTTTGGAAGAAAGAAAGTGACAAAAACAATAGATGTTAGAAAAAAAAAATATTTGAAATAAAGAGAAAAAAACAAAAATAAAGATGAAGACTTATCTTTTTTCATTGGTCATCGAACTAATTACTAACAAAAAAATTTAGTTGGCAAAATGTGGTAATAAATTAAAAAAAATATATATTAGATATTTCAAATATAACAGATATAATAAAAATAAAAAAATACCTAAAATATAAAAAGTATCTGTTTTTATAATGGTTATTAGAAAAAATATATCTGTCTAATAAATTAAACTTTCTAAAACCTAAAAAGATTCGTTACCTTAAATATGTGGAAAGTGTATTTGTACAATTGTGAAAGCTTTTATAAAGTGTTAGTAGGACCTATGACGATTGACAGTGCAAAAAAGATAAAGAAGAAAGACGTGGCGGCACTAACGCGTTGGTTTAGCGTCACCTCCGTGTGACTCATTGCGAAAGAAAAGTCACCATCCTTAGTCTTTCTTATATATTTCCAATCCCATCTCAGATCCAATTCAGAATCACCTCGCTCGTGTTACTTAAAACAGAACAAGAAGATTCTTCAAAGCAACAACTTCGAAAAGTGTAAGGTAAATATAGTTCATTTCTACTTATATTTGAAAAATATTCAATTCTGATTGATATACCTTGAATTTCCAGTTTTCTCTATCAGCAATTTTCTTGATAGATCTGAAATCTTGGGTTTTTGCTTGGTAACTTTTGTTTGTTTGTTCTCATGTTCTAAATGGTGAATTAATCTGAATCTTGTTCTGTCTTAAGCTGTTTTCTCTAGCTTCTCTGTTACTTCTATATGTATTCTTGTTTAATTTTGGTTTATAATGAAACCATTACTTTTCTTGCCAACAAATACAAATCATATAGCTCTTTTTTATCAAGAACAATTTTACAAAAATATATAGTAGCTTTTTTCGTGTATAAGGAAATTATGTCATCAAACGAAGAAAATGTCAAGAAAGAGAAACTTCATGTTAAAATGAAGACGGAGGAATTAGATCCCAACGAGAAGGGAGAGAATGTTGAGGTGGAGATGGAAGTTAAGGCCAAGTCTGTTGAGAAGGTTAAAACAAAGAAAAACGAAGAAGAGAGTGGAGAGAAATCAAAGAAGGAAAATGAAAAAGAAAAAATAAAGGGCAAGAAGGATGACCCAAAGGTAGAAGAAGATAAACATGACAAGAAGAAAGATGAAGAAAATGTTTCCAAGAAACATGGGGAACATGAAGAAGGTCATGGAGATATGGAAACGGAAGAGAAAGATAAGGAACACAAGAAGGAAAAGAAGGGTAAAGAGAAGAACCAGGAGGATGTATCGCAACAAAAGGAGTTAAAAGAAGAGGGAGAAGGTAAAAAGAAGATTAAAGAGTAGTTTGAATCAGGCGCAGAGGGAAAAAAAAAGACGGATAAAGAGAAGAAACCGAAAGAAGAATCCAAGAGTAAGGAAGACAAGAAGAAGAAAAAAGAAGAGAAGGATGAGCCTAAGGAAGAAGTTGAAGGAAAGAAGAAGAAGAAAGAGAAGAAAGAACAAGATATGGAGGGTTTAGACTCTCATGTAAAAGTGGAAGAGCAAGATAAAGAAGACAAGAAGAAAAAGAAAGATAAAGAGAAGAAACACACGGATGTGTCAAAACAGAAGGAGGAGTTACAAGAAGAAGATGAAGGCAAAAAGAATAAGAAGAAAGAGAAAGATGAACCAGGTGCAGAGGACAAAAAGAAGAAGACAGATAAAGAGAAGAAACTGAAAGAAGACAAGAAGATAAAAAAGGGAGAGAAAGATGAGCTTGAAGAAGAAGATAAAGGAAAGAAGAAAAAAGAGAAGAAAGAAGATGAAGCAACAGATCAAGAGAAGAAGGAAGAAGATATTAAGGAGGGAAAGAAAAAGAAGAATAAGGATAAGGATAAGAAAAAGGAAACGGATGATATATGTGAGAAAGAAGCAGAAGATGAAGATGAGAATGAAGAAGAAATAAAGCAAAAAAACAAAAAGAAAAAAGAGCCGAAGATGAAGAAGGACGAAAAAGATAATAATGTTGACAAGGAGGAGGAAAACATTGTCACTGAAGTATTGTCTAGAGAGATTAAATTTGAAGAGCCAGAAGCTGATCAGGAAAAGGAAGGGAAGCCGAAAGACAAGAAGAATAAGAACGTGGAGGAAGGCGAAGAGGGTGATCAAGAAGGGAAGAAAACAAAGAAGAAAGATAAAGAGAAAAACAAGAAAAAAGAATCAAAGGTTGAAGAAGAGACGAAAGCTCATACTGACGCGGATGCGAAGGACGTCAAAATAGTAGGGTCAAAAGCTGAAGATGGTGATGAAGAAAAGGGGAAAAAAGCAAAGACAAAAGAAGAAAAGAAAGACAAAGATGTAAAGAAGCTCAATGAAACCAAGAAGAAAGGTAATAACATTGGTAAGCTGAAAATGGAACTGGGGAAGATTGATGAAAAAATTGGAGCCTTAACGGAGAAAAAGACAGAAATTATGAATCAAATTAAAAAAGCAGAGGGAGAGCAATAATGAAACACGGTGAAACAGACAAGTTGAGAGCGTCTGAGAATGTAAGTAGAGACTAAGCAACATCCACATCGAAGCTGAGGCTATATGTTTCTTGGTACAGTTGCACTGTGACTTAAAAGTTTAGGTTTTTGTGTGTCTGTTTGTGTTGTGTGACAAACTAATATGGTTCTTGTTTTACCTTTGATGATGTAATTTTATGTAATTCATTTTCGATCGTAGTCTTTTTAAAAAGAAAAAACTAGTCTTGTGTCTACGATCATACGAGCAAACACTAGAAACTTGCACATCTGTCTCTACTTCATGCAATTTAAAATATCACATTTCAGAGTTTAGACGATCGAAAATATAACCTGTTGTTTGAAAAATTAGAATATTAACCCAAAAAGAAAAACAATCTACTACTCTTTTTGTTAAAAAATACAAATTAGGTACAAGAAAATGTTGCCCTACAAATTTATACTATTAAAAAAGAGAATCACTAATTTAAAATATTCAAAAGTTATCATGGTATTTACAAAATGTGTCATTACATTTGCTAGATAATTTCATTAATTCATTAAGGATAATTTAATCATATCATTAAACTGTCAATAAATATATTAAATTAAATTAAATTAAATTAGTTTGTTAGCAGATAATATCAATATATTATATTTGATACTAATAAAATTCAAATTAATTTAATTTCAAAATTATTTTAAAATCTTTCATAATATCTTAACATAACTACCATATATATGGCATAAATAACTAATATAATTATATAAATTATACTATGAAAAATATATGTCATATTATAATCAATTTCTTATCTATACTATTAAAAGAAAAACACTATTTTTAAATGTCTAAAAGATACTATGGTATTTACTAAATGTGACAATTTATAGTCAATGATAAATATGTAATCATTATTTTTTGGTTACATATATACATACTATGATAAAAATATTATGTAAATAATTTTTTCTGGTTTGTTAATGATTTTTTTCGAAAAATCATGGATTTGCGGATTTGACAAATACAATTTTGTAGATTTTATGGGTTTTACAAGTTTTAGTAGATTTTATAAGTTTTAGCAGAAAATATAATTTTACGAAAAAATGTCGGTTTTACAAAAAATGTGCTTTTGTAGATTTACCAGAAACACATAATTTTAGCAATTTGGTCGTAAATCATGATTTTGCAGATATTACAGAGTTTATGGAAAAACACGGGTTTGCGGCATGCGAATAACACAATTTTGTGGATTTTATGGGTTTTACAGGTTTTAGCGAAAAAATGTTGCCAAACAGGAAAATGTGGGTTTGTGGGTTTAGTTTAGAAATTTGATCGTAAAACATAGTTTTACAAATTTTACAATTTTACGGAAAAACACGGATTTGTGGATTAGGCGGAAAATGTGATTTTGTTGATTTTACGAAGTTTACTTGTTTTGTCGTGTTTTATAGGTTTTGATAGAAAAATGTTGTTTTATAGATTTTATTAAAAATTTAGGTTTGCAGATTTGACGAAAAACGCAATTTTGCAGGTTTGACAAAATCACGTAATTTTAGTAATTTGGCCATAAATACGGTATTATGGTGTTGGGGGAAAATATATTTTTTGGTTTTGTTAAAAAATGTGAGTTTACACTTTTGGCAGGAAAATATGGTTTGATGGAAAATGCTATTTTTACAATTTCTAACGGAATTCTCGGTTTTTATACAACAACGTCATTTTACGATTTTGCAGGAAAATGCAGCTTTTTATTTCGATAGAAAACTCGGATTTTATGGTTTTGACAAAAAAAAAACTTAATTTTGTGATTTAAATTAGAGGGTGTTTTTGCCTTTTAATTTTTGATATTCAAATGATGCATCCAAACTCTATTTTTTTAGCATCTTAAATATCCAAATTTCGAGATATTATAGATTTTGTATCAGATACAACATCCATATACTGATTTAAAAATATTTAAAAGAACAATATTTGAACATGTACATCCAAATAAGTATCTCGAAACAAAAACAATCAAAACCTAAGTAAATATTGAAATCTTAATTACAAACAAATAAAATATCTCTTGCATTATAAAAGATAATATTTTGAAATATATGTTACAAAATTTAACAGAAAATTTGTTAATCAAAATGTTTTTTTAATATCAAGCCTAAATAATTTTAAGAACATAAAACCATAATATAAAATAGTTTATATAATCTAATAAAAAAAATTCCGTTTGTGCCACAATTTTAGATTTAATAATATAAGCTAATTTGTTTTTGAACAGAATTTTAATATAAATTAATTTTTGCCGTGGCACAAAATTATTTTATAAAAAGAAATCCGCGCAAGTGCGCGGGTCCAAAATCTAGTTTCATTGTTAGAATACATCAAGCAAAAGGTTATAAAGTAAAAGGAGACATGAACATTGTGTGATCCCCCATGTAAAAGCCTATTTTCACGTTACCATTCCGATTCTTGCGGCCAATACACATTTTACATATTTAGTAATTTGTATTCTTTTTCTGTACCCTAAACTAGCCCTGGGCATTCGGATCCTTGGGTCGGGTCGGGTCGGTTCTTTTGGGTTTCAGATAGTTCGGATAGGGGAGGTTAGGACCCATTTAGGACCCGATTAAAAATCAGGTCGGTTCGGTTCAGGTCTTCATCGGGTCGGGTCGAGTCTTAAAAAAATGTAAGGAACCAAATAAGACCCGGAATTTTCAACGGGTCCGATTCAGAACCCGAAAGACCCGATTTAGACCCAAAAAATCTGACAGACCCGATTTAAACGACTGGACTTTTCATTTTTTCGTGAGTTGTTTACATACAAGGGCACTTTTCCCACTTCTGTTTACATTATAGGCACTTTCAACAATTTGGGCATTTTTTGTGTTTCATAATATTGCAATTCCTCTTTTGCCCTTAATGAACAAAATTATTTACAAAAAGTAGAAATCTTCTTCTTCCTCCACCACCAACAATCAACCGTGAACTAATATTATTGTTCTTTATATTTCAGAATTGTTAGATAATTAAAAACATGGATTGTTGTTGCAAATGGTAAAAAAATCTAAATTTGTTATGGATGTGTTGGATCTTTGAATTTTGTCTCATGTAGATCAATTTTCTGGGTTCTTAGAGAAAACTGTGATTTGATGATGTTTGTTTTTTGGTATGTTATTTTCAAAACCAGAAATTAGGGTTTTGACGGTACTGAGTTGGTGTCTGAAACATTGATGTCCACGATTTAATGTCCACAGCTTAATATCCACGACTTAATGCCCACAAGTTCATGTCCTGAGTGTATATCCACGCGTTCATGTCCACGACACTATGTCCACCACCGCAACCGCATATCATCCTTGTAAATTAATCATCGATTTTGACTTCTTGTCTAGATTGTTATCCATCACACACCTTCCATTACCAACTGTCCATCTAAAAAGGAATTATCTTGTGGATACCGTCTTGTGCAAAATTCAGAAGTAAGAATTAATTTTAATCATCCATTTTGGCATCTTGATCTGGTTTGTTGTCCATATTGAGATGCTCATTACCAGTTATCTATCGAAAGTTGTATATATCAAGTGTTGTTCAAATCAAATATTGTATTGTGGATATTATCTTGTGGAAAGAAGCTGAATTATTGATTTTAGCTTCTTGATATGGTTCTTTGGAACCACACTGAGCTGTGTCCATCAGACCGTGTTCATCGAGATGTGTCCATCAGATCGTGTCCATCGAGCTATGTCCAAATTAAAGCGTGATTCTTCCTTTTTTACTAGGTTTCTTGTTTTCAGATCTGGCCGACATGATTGGAGTCGTCTAGGGTGGTCCTGGTTTAGAAAAAATAGATCGGAGTTACAAAGGAATAGATCGGGATTAGAGATGAGTAGATCTGGGTTGCAGAAGAGTAGATCTAGGTTGTAGAGAAGTAGATCCGAGTTGCAGAAGAGTGGATCAAAATTATAAAGGACTAGATCTGGATTCTTTGAAGAAGAATAGATATGGATTGCAGAGGAATAGATTTGAATTGCAAAAAATATAATGAAGAAGATCATAAGAAAAAAAAGAAAAAAAGAAACCTTAGATAAAAAAAATATCGATGGAAAAAAAAGAGATACAAAATAAAAAGGATATTTTGGGGTTTTCCGGTAGAGAGAAATGAAGGAAAAAGAGTGAAAGTGCCTTTTTGTGTTACCAGTTATAGAAAAAGTGTCATTGAGTGTAATAAACTCTTTTTTCGTCCCGTCTTATATATAGAAGCCCAACGGACAATTACAAAGCGAACATGTATACAAAGCCCATTTTAGTAGCCCAAAAGAAATTAAAAAAATGAGAAATCACGATGTAAAAGAAAAAAAAATCAGATAAAGTATATCTGGAAACATCTACACTTCAATCCAGCCAGTAGCAATCACCGACACTGACACCGACAGAATGAGCCACTGCAAGGAACCGCTACCCTCAGCCGGAGCTAAACGTGGGGCCTCAGTCGCTATCGACAACCAGCGCAAACCCTCCAACTGGCACAACACAATCGCATCTCCAAGATTCACCAAAGTCACCAACAGCTCGACGAGTCACCTTCACCGCCCTCTAGCAGAAGCAGACAACGCCTAGATCTGCCGATTCCCTTACCGAAGCCACGGAGCTTGTGCAGCGACACACCACACCAGATCCACACCTCAACAACGCGGAGAAGAGAGACGCGCCTCGAAATCCACCGTCCATGAGGAGCTGACCTCATAAAGAAAACTCTTGACTTTGAGAGAGGGAGATTCAGAGAGGAGGAAGAATGGGAAAATAACAATCAGAGGCAGAGAAGAAGCATGCGAAGAAGAAAGTGATTGAAAATCAATCGAAGAAGGAGAAGAAGAACAGTTGAAGCAAAGGCCGCTCGTTTTGATTTGTTTTGTTATAATAAAATTATGGTTTTTTTTAATTAGATAAATACATATAAATATCGTCAGTTATATAGATTACTAAAATGTTAATTATTACAGAGC